TATATATATATATATATATATTCACAAAAGTGCACATATTCAAGCGTCTAGTTGTTTATGTGTATTTGAGCATTGGTTCCTCATTTTTTTGAAATAAAATTTACATATTTAGAAGCTACATAAAAATTTCTTTAAATCATAATTTCTATTTTTAAAAATATCTAAAGCTTGTTTGAAAAAGCTTAGTACAAGAAAAAGTTTTTTTGACTCGTCACATAGTAATAGTGTCATGTAAATAACGCAGAGGATTAAATTATACTTGTATACCTAGAAAATCAAAATAGAAGATGTTATCTTTCTTAACCAAAAAGAAGATGAAAATGTTTTGTGGTTCAGAAAATAAATTGCTTTAGGGCAAGGTTTGCATGGGGAAAGTGCTCTTCCTATTTGGGGGCTCAGTTCCATGAGATTTTTGCTCTTATGGTTGACGCAGGTATTTAGAACCTGCTTAAGACCTGGCAAACTCTAAGTGACATCCAACTTAGTGATTTGAAACACTGTTAGCAACAATTGGCAAGTCTCTTGCCGTATTTTCAGTTTATGGATTTAATGGTGATGCAATTTTACAAGCTGAGCTCATTTAGACAGCTAAATAAAGACTGATTTCTTCTGGTGAATATTTGTTGGAATCCTCTTTTGCAATGACACAAGTAATATGCTGAAACTTATTCCGAGAAGCATTTAGATTGATGCACTTGGCAGTGTGGTGATATCTATGTCCACATATGTTGAAGTGGTTTGGATAGCATTCAGAAAGTTATACTTGTGCTCATCTTCATAATTTTGTGGTAAGACTTTTTTTTTCTTTACAGATCACTGATTTGCCATTTTCGTTGTATTCAACTTTTGTGATCGAATCCCGCCATGGTTTCAACAAGGTATATCTTGGAAATGAGCAGGACTTTCTTCCAGTTTAAGGAGCTACTATCTCTTTTATTTACTTTCCATATGTCTACTTATTTAGGCAGTTAACTTGTCTATTTTGAACTTGAATTTATCATTCTTATACAGCAAACAGTATGGTTATTCTTCAGAGACATGATCAAAGGAATTGCTTTGGCAATTGTAATTGGTCCTCCCATTGTTGCTGCCATCATTGTTATAGTACAGGTACTCATGTTTTTGGTACTACAGGAACTTCCTTTTGTGGTTATGGTTCAAATTCAAGATCTTAGCATGATGTAGTTGTTCATTTCTGTTTGAGATGTTTCTGTTGTTTCGGATCAGTATTCTAATTACGTTGACCATGAACATTTCTTATATCTCCATCTTAAAGGCAAGAGATGATATTGTATCCGTTTCCCCTAACAATAAAATCGATTCTTGATTTGCAGAAGGGAGGTCCTTACTTGGCCATTTACTTGTGGGGATTTATGCTCGTCCTGTCTCTTGTTATGATGACTCTTTACCCTATTCTGATTGCTCCGCTTTTCAACAAGTTCACTCCGGTAAGTAATGTACCGACCGTTAAAGAAGAGAACTCCCAAAGAAAAGGAAAATTGAAAAGTAATTCCTGCAGCCTGATTTGATAATTAAGTTTCATTGAATGAGCAGCTTCCGGAAGGAGAACTTAGGTCGAAGATTGAGAATCTGGCTTCCTCGCTTAAATTTCCCCTAAAGAAGTTGTTTGTGGTTGATGGGTCCACAAGGTCGAGCCATAGCAATGTGAGAACTCCTTTTCGTTTATTCTGTTGGTCTCTTCATGGTAGTTAAACAGGTGCTTTGTTTCATTTCACCCATTCTACTTAGAAACCCTGACACATTCTACGTCTTCAGTTGTTGGCTGGTCTTAGGGTTGAGAAGATAATTTGAATTTTAGGATTTGTCTAGTGTTACTTAACTCTCTAGTTTGGAAATCTTTTATTTCTCTACAATATTTTATGCGGAAAGCCAATCACATATTTCAGTTGATTGTGCTATGATCTCTTTCTGTAATCTCAGTTGATGTAGGTTGACATGCTAGTTCTCTTAGTTTTTTGCATTTTTATTGATGCCATTATAAGATCAGAATGATATTTTAAATGACAAATCTGTTTGGATTGTCCCCTGGTTGAAAAGAATAGGTCAAGGTCATGCACATACTTATTGCACAAACTTAAGTATGATACGCAACTGTTGATGTGTAGGAATTATTTTGGCGGTAAATTTCTATGGAGTTATCTCTACTTTATTTGTGGACTATGTTATTAAGTGTCTATAGGGTTATCTCTCCTTTTCTTTCTGGATTATGTTATTAAGTTTGAGAAGCTCTCATGGATCTCTTGTCTTTAATTAGAGACAGCAAAGTGAGTACGCTAAAGCTATTGGGCGATGAATGGGCTGGTTATATAGTGGCTATTAATGGGCATTTGATCTAAAACTGACTACTTTTTCCAAATAATCAAGGATATTATTTGACATAATAAGTTATTTTTTATTCATGTGCCAGTGAACCAACTCCTTTCGTTTTTTGTTGTTGAAGGCTAAGTTACTCGGACTCTTCACTTTCAGTGCCGCACCCGTGTCGACACGACGTGGGTGTGAGTATGGGTGTGGGATCCGTGTCGGATCTGGTCAACCGATTTTGGGTACTTTGACCAAAATCAACGGAGAAATTTGGGACAGATACAATGATTTTTGAAAACAAATCAAAAGATAGGGTGATATGGAAGAAAATGGAATACCTTGTATATATAAATTTCTATGTCGGTCCTTTTCCTTTTATCTCCTTCTAAAATTCTATTCTTATTCAATATTTTCTCCTTCTCGGAATACCTTGTAAGTTTTTCACATAATGTCTCATAATTTAGACATATATAACTCTATTTTTAAATAATTGAATTATTTTTAGCCGAATCCCCGCACCCGTATCCGTACCTGGATCCGTACCCCCGAATCTTTAAATTTAGATCATGAAGGATCTGACCTCTAGATCCGGACCCGTATCGGACACCCGCACCCGAGTCCGAGCAACTTAGGTTGAAGGTGAGAGAATGACTTATTCAAAACATATAGATCAGAAAAGGCTATCCATATACTTTCGGAAGTAAAGTAAAAAATGAAAAACAACACATAGTATATGACAATGAATACAGGTTCTAATAAGAATATATGAATAGTAATTTTGCCTCAATAAAGAAATACATAGTGCAGGTGGATCTCTTCATTCTTTTTTTAGCAAGTTATGGTACATTGGTAAGAACTTAGACTATTGGGTTTTGATCAGTGATATCCTGGACATGCTAACAAAATTAACTAGTTAGTGGTGGCCAAATCTTCATCCCGTTCTATGAAAACTTGTTCAATTTAATAGAATCAGCAAAACTGAAAGTCTGTGTAAAGGTAAATAAAAAGGATTTTGCAGAAGACACAAGCTTATTTAAGGGGCTCATTTACCCAGTGAACCCTAGGGCTGCATCAACCTTCTTTTTTGGTTGGAAATCTACCTCTTCGTTGATTTGTTGGAATTATGTTGTTTGTGAATTTGTCACTAGAATGCAACTTTTAGCCAGGTGCTTATGCCTTGTTGCCTCGCATTTTACCCCGCTTGCTCCTGTGCGCTAATCTTGTATTTGAAATTTTTGCTAGGCATACATGTATGGATTCTTCAAGAACAAACGGATTGTCCTCTATGATACACTAATCCAGCAGGTGTGGTGGCTATTAAATCCGACTAAAGTGACCTTGCCTTCATTTTTCTCTTTTACCTTTTTGTATTCTGTTCACTGTTTGTTAGCTAATGAATTGTTTTTTTTAATTTTATTTTTTGTGTTAGGTAGTTTAGTTGATTAAGTTAGGAGTTCTCCATTTACAGATTCCTAAAGACTACAACAACAACAACAACCCAGTATAATCCCACTAGTGGGGTCTGGGGAGGGTAGTGTGTACGCAGACCTTACCCCTACCCTGGGGTAGAGAGGCTGTTTCCGATAGACCCTCGGCTCCCTCCCTCCAAGAACTCCCCACCTTGCTCTTGGGGTGACTCGAACTCATAACCTCTTGGTTGGAAATGGAGGGTGCTCACCACTAGAGCAACCCACTCTTGTCTAGATTCCTAAAGACCGTTTTATGATAATTCAAAGATTGTTCTAACGTGGTCATGATTTGGTGAAAAGCAAAGATATATGATGACGGGTTTCCAGCAGATGCAACCTTAATTAATTGTAACGGTGACGACTTTGTAGGCTTCTTCCTATGTGTAGGTTCTTATGAGAGGAGTGTATGCCATATTGCCATCTATATGAGAAAACTTGTAGCTGTTAAAATCTATAAAAAAAGATTGAAGCTGTTAAAAAGTTTTTTGACAATGTAATTTTTATTCCACCGCACAGAAGGAATTGCTGCAGGAAACAATTTCTGTTATCTTCTTGCATAAAGTTTGAATGTAGTTTTCTTTTTCTCCCCCCTCCTCCGCGTCAAAGTATAAGTTTTTATATTGTTTCTAAGAATTAAAAAAATGGAAGCAAAGGATCATACCGGCGATACAAACTAGTTGACATTAACTAGTTATCCAGTAGGGAAAGTATGGGATTTAGAGAATCCCAAATTTGCCTTACAATGCTTATTTTTTTGTAATGCCTAAATAGCATGGATTGGTGTGGAGGATCCATATGGGTGACTATAACCCTAGTTGATTGTTTGATTGAGACATTGAGTAACAGCCTTTTTATCATTTGACCATTATCTGAGCTTAAAATATAGCGATTTTTTGAGCCATGAACATAGGTGTTTATGTTTATTAGGAGGCTCTTCAATTTTTTCTTTTTTAACTTCGAGAAAATGTTGTTCTTGGTGATTCAAAGAGATAGAGCGTGGATAGTATGTGTTTACTTTGCTGCATTATATGATAGGGCTGCTTCTCTCATCTGGTATCCTTTATAGCTAGATTGCATGATTTAGATATTACTCTACAATGCTAATACCCAAATTCTAACATAACAAACATTTTCTCAGTTTGATTTCTTTCCTCTAATTTATTTGCTGGTGGTATGTAGTGCAAGAATGATGAGGAGGTTGTTGCTGTTATTGCGCATGAGCTGGGGCACTGGAAACTTAATCACACGATGTACTCCTTCATAGCTGTCCAGGTATGGAAATTAATTCATGCAGCCCGTGCCATTAAACCAAAACAGTTATTCTGTTTTCAGTTCAAGTAGATGTTGCCGTTGTTCCATTTATATGATGTAGTTTATTTCTCTTTAAGAGATCGTGGGACTAGTTTGACTTATTATATTTATGATGGTAGACAAGAAATTCCTAAAGTTGTCAGAAACAGAAACTTGAGTCTTTTTTGATAAATTTGATCTGTTGAAACGTGAATAGCATGCACATTATTATCATTTGCAATAACAATTTTTTATCTGTTGAACATGTGAATAGTGTATGTACCATTATCATTTATACATGTGACCCATCTGTTTGATATATCCAAGCTATGTGAATCACCTTGATATAACTTTTTTTGATAAGTTAAAAACACCCTGATATAACTCCCAGAGATACTTTACTAATATGCATCTGATTTCACTATCTTATTAGGGGATATTTATCTGGGGATTATAACCTGCCTGGCGCATAAAACAATCAAACTGTCACTTTTGCCTCCTCGATATAACCAGGAGAAGGGTGTTTGCTTTCCTCTTTTCTCCATTTTGTTCTATTTTTCTCCTCTGGTATCAGCTCAATCTTCACTCCCTCAGACTTCAGTCTCTCTCAATTTGTTCTTCACTTGCTCGCAATGCCTACTTTCACCGCATCTTTGTCTTTCTTCATTTATAACAGAGATAGCCCTTGATCAGCCTATGTAGCTCATAGTCTCTCTTCTTGTTATGCTTCCCCTCTTGCCAAGGTACGGGGAAGGAGAAGTGAGAAGTACTCATTGATTTTATATAATATGTGTTCCTTTACTATGATTATTTGGGAAATTTGGACTAGAATGAACCTGAAAAATGTTGTAATACAGCATTAGATCGGAAAATGATAAGAAGAGGAGATAATCAGGAGGTTAGCACTCGATTCGTTCCAGGGGACCTATCTCACATTTAGGTCTAGGATTCGAGTCAGTTCGACTTTCCCTTTTAGGTTGAGGCAAGGAATTTAAGGAAATTGGTGTAGTTACACTGTTGGGATTTTGGGTGGCTCTTCAGTTTTTTTTGAGGAGTGGCTCTTCAGTTTGAGGATAGCCAAGACAGTTAGGTTTCAATTTGAGGGTAAGAAGAATGGCTATGTTTGGTGTGGCTATACCAACCCTCAAATTTGAGGGTTAGTAGAATGCCGATGTCTGGTGAGGCTACAAAAAACCTGCTGTATTCTCAGTTGTAACAGTATTAGGAAATAGAGATGCTGGTATGGTTGACTTCTTTTTATCATCAACATTCGATGACTATCTTGGAGCTTCATCCTTCATCTATTATGTTTAGGGGATATTGTTGGTCTGACTTTTGGTATGTATTTAACTTGGCCAAAGAGTATCTAGCTGCTTAGTTGCCTGTACATTCTTTGTGCTGATGTGTATACTGTTAGCTTTCTCAAAAGAAGAAAAAATATCTGGCTGCTTTTTCCCTTACCTGATTGCCATGCCTCTTTGTGTTGGGTTTCCTTTTTCCTTTTCTCCCCGGATATCAGCATTGGCCCAAGAATATCTGTTGCTTGTTTCTTTACAGCATTAGGAAAACAAAACACCTATGCCGTTCTGTTTTGATAGAATGCTCTGTTCGAAAACAGTTATATTCTTTATTCTGACAGTAAAATCATATTTTTCTTGTTCTGACACGAGTATTATTCTCTGCAGATCCTCACATTATTGCAGTTCGGAGGATACACTCTTGTTAGGAATTCAAAGGACTTGTTTCAGAGTTTTGGGTTTGATACCCAACCAGTTCTTATTGGACTTATCATATTTCAGGTAATATATGCTCTTGAAAGGTTATATTAAACATCTGGTAGGTCAGTGTGGCTATTGGGAAGGGTTAGATGTGGTAATTTGATTTTCAAAATCCAGAAGATTTACTAGCCTATATGTTATTCAAATCATTGGCTGGTTTTTTTCTTTTATATAGGTCTAAGAACATTGATCACTCTGTAGTTTATTAACTCAAGGGACTTCCATTCCAGATTTTGAATTACTCTTATCATGGTCTTTTGGAACTAATGGTATTAACATTGTCCTTGATATCATTGTTCTGGAATTTAATAATTTTTTTCCCCTCAAAGATGTGAAAATCTTTTGGAAGCAATGCAGTCAATGCAAATTTACCTATGAATAAAACAACATAAATGCCAATATCGGTGATACCGACTTGTATGCGTAAGCGTGAGATTTAGAGAATCCGTAAATAGATAGATCATATAGTCGATGCCAAATGATTTGGGTTTCAAGCGTAGTTGATAGACTGATTGGTAGTTTCTTCACTGGGTTTGCCAATATTTCACAAGTGAATCTGTAATTAGGTAGTATTGTTTTTGTTCATCTGTAGTTAATATATTTGAGGTTCTACATATTACTAGCTTTTATATTTCCCATTTGGTCGACATACGGCAGGCTCAACTGATACCAAATAAGAAGATGAATTATTTGAAGCTTAAAAGAACTAATACAATATTATCCATAGTTAATGATCAATCTAGCCGTTGGGTTAAGCAGGATGCTACTGAAATGCCGCTCAACGTGAGAGCAAATTATGTTTTTTGGACAAAGGCAATAATAAAGTAATGGTGATTGATGTGTCGTACCTTGTGAATAGGCAATCAAGGTTGTACATTAAGGTTGTTATTCTTCGTTAAGGAATCGTGCATATACAAACAGTTCAAAGTTCAATATTGTGTCACTTGACATGCCTTGAGAATATAAGAACTGGTATTTATCAATTGCAAAATCTATTTTGTTCTAATTTATTCAATGTAATTTAACATGGTTGCAGCACACTGTCATACCTCTCCAGCACCTAGTGAGCTTTGGTCTTAATCTTGTAAGCCGTGCTTTTGAGTTCCAGGTAACACGTTATGTTGTATGGATTTATCTTTATATTTTGACTTATTTTTTAATGCTAAATGTTTTCACTTGAACTGTAATTTTTTTTATCTCAAGGCTGATGCTTTTGCAAAGAAGCTTGGTTATGCTGCAGCACTTCGAGCTGGTCTTGTGAAACTGCAGGTTGCCGTTCCTTCTATCCTAAATGTGTCTCCACGATATCCTTTTTTGCGATTGAGCCATTTGCATATGCCATCTATGTTCATTGATGATTCTTAAAATGTTGATAATGAAAATTTTCCAAATCTAAACGCTGAACAATTCTTTGGAACTCAAAGCCATAATAGTAATTTCTAGGTTTCAAATCATTGCAACTTAGAAGAAACTTTCAAATCCTGTAACAAGATATCTGTAATACCAATTTGTTCAACATGTTGCAGGAAGAAAACTTGTCGGCTATGAACACAGATCCCTGGTATTCGGCTTATCATTATTCTCACCCTCCTCTAGTTGAAAGATTGACTGCGATTGATGAAATCGATAAGAAGACAGATTGACAACACGTGGGCGTTCCGCTGTTCAATATAGAGTTGGTTCTATACTTTGCACCACAGAACTGCAAGCATAACAAACAATAGGTGTGATTTACTTTCAGTTGCCATGATATTGTTGATGTCACATTCACATTGTAGTGCTGAGTTAGGAAGGTTACTGGAGCTTCAAGGAGGAATGACTTTATGTTTGATTGTATTGTTTACAGAAGTTGGGAGCTTCAGCTCGACTTTGCTGATAAAGTTGGTCAAAATTTAGGGTTTATATAATCAAACGGTGGCAATTCGAGCTCTCGAGGAGATGTACCAGGAACTTCGTAGTATTTTGGAGGGACAAAAATAATGTTTTTTGGTCCCGCCTCTGCATTTATGGGCATATTTTTCCTTTTCAGCCAGTGCTTCTCTTTTACTAATTAGTAGTATTATTGTTTTCTTTAAAAGAATTTGCGTAAAAGTTAAAAAAGCATGTAACCAAAAAGATAAATAGGAATGTTACATTAAACATAATTAGCATGTTAGAATTGACTTATAGATACAATAGTCGAGTGCCTATCTGTAACCAGATCATCTATTTTGCTATATGTGCATCACTAATTCGTGATACATTTCTCACAGCCAAAATAAGTCATTCAAGATTCGCGTAGGATGACCAAAAGTATATTTCATTTCAAGAAGGTAAACGAGTACCACAGCATAGCCAATAGGAGGAATTGATAAATCTATTTCAATTTTTATAAAATTGACCTTGTTGCTCTTTTTTTTCTTTTTCTTTTTCTTTTTCTTCCTCCACGTATAAAATGATAAATGCAAAGTCTCGCGTATCTTTGTAGTTTTTGGTTCAGATCCCTTTTCTAAATATTTATACTTCAAATCAACTATCTTCATCGGTATTATCAATTTTAGTCCGCGCCTGAAATTATTTACATTTGGTAGGCGNATATATATATATATAAATTTTATATATTTTTTCAGCTATTATTTTTACAGCAGCTATACACTGTCATTTTTTCTATCTTCGTAGCGGTTTCCTATCTTCATTGCGGAAGGTTCAAGCCCGTCAGGATCACATGTGACTCCTTTGTGATCTGGATCTCCTCTAGTAATCAATTTGTATACAACTTCCCATATGATGAAAAATTTACACAATATTGTATGATTTTCATCAATATGTAGTGTTTTTTGGAGTCTGATTTTGAATAGGGTATATGCGTAATTGTTATATTTACGCAGGTATTTGCAATTAGTAGGGGGTTTAAATGTTTGACTTTGAAATTTTGTCTGGTTTATCCTTAAGTGAGTGATTAATGCTGTAATAGATATTTTGAGTAACTTCCTCTTTAAAAGGTCGTCTAGTTCGCGTACTACTAGTTAACTAGTTATTATAATGCGATTGTTGTACATGAATTACTATCTTTAAAAGGAAACTTTTTATCTTTGAATAATTTAATCCATGTATACACCTATTTATTTTGCTTAAAATTACATAGATTCTACATAACTTAATGCAATATTATATAATACTGTCAACCAAATGCTGCATTAGAATGGGGGCATATGATTATTTTTTTTCCTTGTGCAGCCAACCAAACAATGTGATATTATGCGAAATTTTATGATGAGATTTGTATCAAACGATAGGTAAAATAAGAATTTCCTTGCCCGGTACACTAAGATTTCGCTATGCGCGGGTCCGGGAAAGGGCCGGACTACAAGGGTTTATTGTACGCAGCCTTACCCTACATTTCTACAAGAGGTTATTTTCACGGCTTGAACCCGTGATCTCCAGGTCACATGGCAGCAACTTTACCAGTTACGCCAAGGCTCCCGTTCGTCGCAAACAAAATCACTGCCACAAAAATTCTATATATTACCTACTCATGTAAAATAAAAATAAAAAATGAAAGTAATGGAAGCATCATATGTAGTCAATTTTTTCCCACTTGTGTGGTGAAAAATTTAAGAGGACTCATCTAGTACAATAAAGAGAAAGTAAAGGGGAAAAAAAAAAAAAGCAAACTCCCATCCCTCAAAGAGAAGTCAATTTCCTTCACGGGCAACAACAAATGGCATGCAATCCAGTTCAAAAGTTGACACATGATCTAACATGCTTTTCCTCTAACTTACTCTCTAGAAAATTGAAAGTTAAAGAGAAAGTTCAAAATAAGAAAACAAACTGAAATGTCCAAAGGCTCTTCTTCTTTTTTGGTCTAAATATTTCTGTTAATTTCTTGAGTTTTAGATATGTCTGTTGATTCGAGTTCAGGTGATCATAGTAGTAACATAAGAGGAGTACCAACACATGGGGGTCGATATGTGCAGTATAATGTGCATGGTAGTCTTTTTGAAGTTTCAAGAAAATATGTTCCTCCTATTAGACCTATTGGTCGTGGTGCTAATGGCATGGTTTGGTAAGAAAATTTTACTTTTTTTTAATATGCATAGCATAGGTTATAAGCTCTGTTTCTTCAGTTCTAATAGTTACAGGTTTGTGAATATTTGTGTGTATTACCAACTGTTGTACATATATATAGTGCTCTCTGATCTGAAGAGGAGCAAAGCTTGCCCCTGCATGGAGATTGAGTTGTTTACCTTGAGGTTAACTATTACTCATCGTTTTGTGATTCACTCTTTTGTTTTTAATTAGTCGTTAAACAAAAGATCGATATCTTTTAATATTTGAAAACTCTTTACCTTCAAACTTTCTATTTTATCTATAATAGTATTATGTTATAGTCACATAAATATCATGACATCTTAAGGCGGCGAGTTCTAAGAGTACTTTTGTATATACCGATAATCTATATTTTTTTCAAAAGCTCCGTGCCTAGTTGAACACAACGATATACAATGAAACCGAGGGAGTTTCACTTAGTACAAAAGTGGAAGTTTTTAACCATGAATATTAATCGAAGTTGGTTCCAGTGAATTTGTAAGATTTTTTGTGGTTGATATGTAAAGACATCTGAATCAGATCATTCTAATAGGTTTTACTTCTTCAATTGGTCATTTCCTGATATAACACGGCTATAGGTCAGGTCTCTTATGAATAGTTTCCATTAAATTTTGAGCTTTTTGACATTGAAGGTAGTATGTATTGTTTGTTGGCACAATTGAAGTTGTTAGTATGTATGCTTGTCATTTATGTGTCTTAAAGTGCCTCCATGTATGCTATATGCGTATGGTTGCTTTTATGCTTCCCTTGTCACGATCAGTGGCGGAATCATGATTTTCAGGGGAGTCAAAATATAAAGAAGTAAATACATAAGAATCAAAGACAATTTAACATAAAGTATATATACATATTTTTTGTTACCTATCTACATAGTCTAATTTTCCGGCGAAGGGCAAGACTATTATCTGCTCAAACTTACTTTGTCTTGTATCTACATGTCTCACTAATCTAAAGCAAGCCTTTGAAGTTGTTCACTATGTTATCTTTTCACGTGATGTATCCTGTGATGCTACTTGTCCTCTGTTTAACTTCTTTTCACTGTTGTAAGAGTTCTTTCTGTTAAACTTTTTTTTCTCTATTTTATTAGTATGTGAAGGAAATATTTTACAGTAATTTTCTCTAATTTGATGCATGCAGTGCTGCTATGAACTCGGAGACACGTGAGGAAGTAGCAATTAAGAAGATAGGGAATGCATTTGATAATGTAATAGATGCAAAAAGGACATTAAGAGAGATAAAGCTTCTGAGTCACATGGATCATGAGAATGTGAGTATTGCACCTCTCCAGATATCTGCAATCATGCCCCCTTACACCAATCCATCTTTGTCCTTTTGCATCTGGTTTTCTCCTTGTTTTTTGCTGGATGTACTCCTTCCGTTTTAGTTTATGTGGTAACTTTTTTACTAGTCATGAAATTTAAGAAAAAAGAGAAGACTTTTGAAAATTACGGTTTTAAACTTGTCATGGCATTATCTGTGGGTATAAAAGCATGTCACTAAGGTAAACTGAAAGATCAAAAGCTAAATTGTTTCCAAATATAAAAAGGTGTCGTTCTTTTGAAACAAACTAAAAAGAAAATAGTGTCACATATATAAAATGGAACAAAGTTTTTTTTTTTTTTTTTTTTTTTTTT